TACTCAGCTTAGTGCACCCCCTCCCCATTGGTCTGCAGCCCTTTGTGTGTCAGAATTGTTCACTGTGCCCTGGTGACTTTCCTCCTCCCTCCACTCAGGGAAAGCCCACTTCAATATCCACCTTGAAGGACTGCTCCACGCTCAAGTTTTCCAAGAAGACACCCCCCTCCATAGCACTGGGCTGTAGCTCTTCCTCAGAGTTCCCACGGGGTTGATTTCATCAGAATCCCAGCAACAAGCGCGTTCCCCTCTGTGTTTGTTCATTTTTAGTTTTTAAAAATAGAACTTGAGTTTCATGGAACACACATTCACTGGGAAAAGTCAGAGACACAGAAGACGAAAAAGAAGTAAAAAGCACATATAATCCCTAAGTTGCCAAAGGAAAGCACCGTTAACATTTTTACTTATGTTCTTTCATCTTTTTTCACTGCTCATCAGTATGCTGAAAAAGGACTTTTCTGAAGACAAAAAGAAAAACAAAAACACACGGTTTTGAAACATATTTTTGGACTCCGGAGCAGATATCCTGGTTCAAGTTCCAGCAAGCCACCTACCATCTGTGTGACCTTGGGAAAGTTACTTAACCTCTCTGTGCCTCACTGACCTTATTTACAAAAAGGAGGAAACAATAGCATATCCCCTGTAGGATTGTTAGGATGATGAGTTAATATATTGAAAGCACTCAGGATGGTGCCTGGCACATGGCAAATGCCATATAAATGTGAGCTGTCATCACTGTTGTTATTATTAGATATATAAGGGAATGTTGGTTCATGTGGCTAAATCACCTCTGGTAGCATAATCTGCAGCTGCTGGGGCTTCCTGGTATGATGGTACTTGCATTAATTTAACCTCTTCTGCTGTTAGGCATTTATATTGTTCCAGGGTTTTTTTTCATCTTCTATAAACAACTATGAGATAAACATCCTTGAACACCTCTGCACACATCTTTATTTGTTCCTAAAAATTTAACTGCTGAGTCAGAGATCACACATATTTTTAAACTTCTGAAACATCATTGCCAACCTGCCCTTCAAAAAAGTTGCACCAGTTTACCCTACGCACACGCGGTTGGACAGTGTACACATCCCCACACACCCCACCTTCACCTGGGGTCCTGGGCCTACCTGCTTGTCTCCCCCTCCTGCAGCTCAGGCCTCCTCACCCCTCTGCATGTCCCCCATACCCACATCACTGCCCCCCCCCCAGCCAGTAGTGAGGTTTGCTGAAATGGAGGAACTGGAGATGAGGTTTGGGGATCCTATTTTCAGCCTCCTGGATAAATCTGTGCTTTTCATTTACCCCCACATGTAAAAATGTGGGTCAACACACCTGCCAAGAATCCAACGCTATTTAAAGGTAGTCTATGAAATTGTGTGGGACTACATATTCCATGCATTAAAATGACACCATAATTCCAGACAGAACGGGCAAAAGTTTTGCTTTTTAATCACACATTGAGTGATTAAACTTTGGATATTTTAAAACATTTCCAGCATCCAATATCAAGGCTCCCAAGGGACCATACCAGAGCCCCAAATCTGCCATTCAAGAGCTCTCTCTCCGGATTCCAAAGCACCTTGGAGACAGATCCTTTAATTACAAATGCACACAAGCCATCACCTTCCTATTTGGAGGTAGACTAATGTCCCACTTTCCCACATCACACTGAGAAATAAAAGCTACAAAAGGCACCAAGAGTCTGCCCTCTGAGGACCACAGCAAGCCTGTGTGTGGACACGGCAGTGTACTGGGCTCTTTCTCACAGTGCTAATGATGGAGGGCCCTTATTCCCATTTTGCTGATCAGGAGACCGAGCCTCAGAGAAATTAAGAATTTTTCTGAGGAGCTAAGAACAAGAGAGAAGACTCTGACATTACAACTTTTGGTCACCAAATCTCTGCCCTCTCTACAGTTCAAGACACTGAGGGTGCCTGGAAAATGCTGGCCACCATATGCATCAGTCACCCATGAGACTTCCTAGAATGGCCCTGACCACCCAATTCTCTCTGCAATAAAAAGACATGCTCAGGGTGGGCATGACAATTTATGGACATCCTCTGAATCCCACAGGTGAGGGGCAGATGTCAGAACTGTGACATCTGACCAGCAGGGCCCAACTCCAGACACCGTGCCCCAACGTGTCCGAGAGGATGGGAAGCTGAGGTCTCAGCAGAGTCCCCCAGAGGCACATCTCAGGGAGATCTGGATTGTGTGGAGAAGCCAGAAAAGGAAGTAAACCTCCTGGAAGAAGAGACCCCAGGACACTGAGGAGCGGGTCATGGACATCAGTCCCACAGCTGCCATTTGCTGAGCACGCGCCGGACACTGCACTCAGCGTTCACGCTCTCACGGCTAACTGCTGAAGAAAACACAACCAGGTGGGTACCATGACGATCCCATTTTACAGATGGGAAAAAGAAATGCAAAGCAGCTCCAAGGCTGGCCAGAAGCCAGGCAGTCTGAACACATGAGATGGCTCAGGGCTGAAGCTGGGCTCCACCTCTCTCCAGCTGTAGGAAGAAGTGACCTCACGGGGGAAAGTGGGCGTGGTAACAGAGGGGAGAATGCGAGAACTACAACAGCTGGAGAAACAGGGATTCAGCAAACAGGTTTAATGAAACCACTCCCTACTGCTGCCATGGGGCAGGGGGAGTCACAGGCCTCTAAGAAGGTATCCTGGAGACACATGCGATGGGTGGGAGATGTGAGCCTGGACCGAGTGGACGATAATGGAGCGGTTGCTGTGTGCCGCCACAATCTTCGGGCAGGAGAAATGGGTCAACGTCTCACAGGTGCAGGTGAGCAGGAACAAGGGGCAGGGGAGAGGGACAGATCCAAACCTCCTAGTGGCCAACCAGCCAGAGGAGGGGGGAGGTTCTCCATTATAGGACCAGCCAAGACCAAGGAACCAGAGGGAAGGTGAAGCCCCAGAGGTGCTCACCGGGGCCAGGCCCCTCACCCGTGCGACCTCCGTAAGCCTCAGGCCAACTCTCAGAGGGAGGGGTGGACAGTTCCACCTCTAGGACGAGAAAACTGAAGTCTGAGAGCTTAAGCAAGCTTTCTGAAGTCACACAACTGGCCAACAGTGGGGTGGGGATTTGAACCCCGGTCCGTAGGACAGGAAGGAGTTGGAAGTATGGCTGCAAAGACCACGAGGCAGAGACTGAAGGGACACGCTGGCTCCTGGGGCCTGGTGAGAAGTGAGAAGTGCAAGGGGGTGGGAGACAGTGCCCAAGGGGCTCTTGTTCCAGGTTCCAGCCTAGTGGGGGTCAGAGAGTCTGTCAGCATTGGGCAAGTCTGTCTGATGAGGGAGGAGAGGCCTTGACCCCTGTACTCAGGAGACAAAGGCACACTGCAGGAGGTAGGAGGGTAAAACTGCCCCCCCCCCCTGGAGCGTCCAGACATGCCTCCCAAGAGCATTCTTCCTCCAGGCCCTTCTGGGACCAAAGAGGAGAAGGGGAGGATCCAGAAGTTCTGCCTTCCATGTAGGGCTCTAAACACCCGAGAGGTTGTAAAAACTTTTCCCTCAAGGGCACTGACAAGTGCTGTGTCCTGCCGGCTGGCCTGCCTCAAGCGAGCTCTACAAGGAAAAGCTGGCAAGGGACTGGAGGGCAGGTCAGCCCCGCTGCTCTCTGGACTCAGGTGCGGCACTGCTGAGCACCTGGCCAGATTTTCCCCGCGCTTCACAGCAGCCCCCCATCCCTTGTCTGTGAGTCTTTCATGAGCTGCAGGTGGAGTTAGCGCTCTCACAGACCAAAACCTCAGCAGACCTCATTCCTCCAGCCCCTGCATCACTCCCAGGGCCCTTGTGTAAGCGGGTGTCCCCCCCCCCCCCCGCCCCCAGCCTGGAATGCCGCCTCTCTCTCCAGTAATAGAAATCCTCTCTTAGGAAATCCTAGCGTTCCTTAGGATCCACTTCTAACATTGCTACGTGCTCAAATCTCTCTGCTCCCCTCCAGTGCCCTCAGACTTCAATCTGTTTCCTGCATCTACCCCCCACCATGCTGTCCCCTTCCCTGTAACAGGGTTCTTGTGCTCTGTTCTCACACACCAGACAGTTAAGGTCCTGGGGGTCAGAAACCAAAGCCTTGGGATCCCTGGGTGGCGCAGCGGTTTGGCGCCTGCCTTCGGCCCAGGGCTCGATCCTGGAGACCCGGGATCGAATCCCACGTCGGGCTCCCAGTGCATGGAGCCTGCTTCTCCCTCTGCCTGTGTCTCTGCCTCTGCCTCTCTCTCTCTCATAAATAAATTAAAAAAAATTAAAATTAAAAAAAAAAAAAGAAACCAAAGCCTTCCAGGTGCCAGAGGACATGCACAGGACTCCACATACCCACACAGTGCACACTGAGCACCTCCACCTGCCGTGGGGTTGTGGGTAGGGAATGACCGTGCTCCAGGGGGTTTCCCTTTCTAGCCCCTTCCTCATGAGCCTCTCTGGGACCTCAGGGCTGGGGGACCTTTCCCACCTTTCAGATGCCAGGTCCCCCATCCCTGCTCTGTTTCCTGCCTCCACTTCTGGGCATACTCAAGCATCCTCTGTAGATCTCCAGCCACAGCAACCTGGATGCGGTCTCCAGCAGGGGTGTCCCACTGCTTCTCCAGAGGGATCCCAAGGCTGAGGGTCCCATCTGGTTTCCCACTTCCCACACCCCTTGGCCTCTACTCCCAGGAATAAACTTCTGCAAGGGAGAGGCGCTCAGTTGTCACAGGGAGCAGGAAATAAGAGGCCTATGGCCGGGCTCCTGTGCCGGCACGGCCACACTGGGTGGAGGGCTCGGGCTACTGGGGGACTCTGAGCGGACTGGAGCAGAGCCAGGCGGGCGCAGCCCCACGTCTCCTCCCGGCGCCGGGCTCCGCTCGCACCAGCGGGCATCCGCGCCCTTTCCTCCGATTCGACCCCGAGCAGCCCCGAACCCCGAGCAGCGCGCCGGGCTCCCGCTCCAACTCGGAACGCAGCGGGAGGCGAGGGCCGCGCCCCGGGGCCGGGCGGGCGGTACCTGTCAGCAGTTCGATCCTGTGTCCCAGCACCTTCATCCCTGCGCCGCGGCGGGGAGCGCGCTCGGCCCGGCCGGAGAGGAGTGCGGGAGGCGAGGAGGGAAGCAGCTGCGGAGCCGCGAGCGAGGCGGGCGGAGCTGCCGGGAGCCAGGAGCGCTCTCGCCGCCCCCCTCGCCGCGCTCCCCCCTCCGAAACGAGTTAAAAAAAATCCAACAATTGCACGACCGCGCACCCCTAAAAGGCGCGCGCCGCCACCCGGTCGGGGTGAACTCGGGGAGGCGGAGGGAGCTCGCGGGGCGGATGCGGGGGTCACTCCCGTCGGCGGCGGAGTGCGGGGGGGGGGGGGCGTCGCGCTAACAAAGAGGCCCTGCCACCCGCGCCTCCCCCGGCGCGACACAGGGGGTCCCCGAGTCCGTCTGGAAAGGGGGGAGGGGGTGCCACCCTCGTAAGCAAAATGTGGCCTGCGCGAGGGGGCGCGCGGCTCGCGAGTCTCAGGTCTGCGGGGGGGGGTGGCCGCAGCCCCCGCGGGGGGAAAGGGGGCGGGGGGCGGGGAGACGGGCCGAGGGCGCCGCCGACTCACCGAGGGTGATGCGAGGAAGACCGACGCGCAGGCGGGGAGCCGGGCCTGGGCGCGGCGGGTGCGGGTGCGGCCGCCGGGAGCCCCTCCGCGCACCTCCGCGGCCGCCGGGGGGGGGGGGGGGGCGGAGCCGGGCTGGGGGCGGCGCGCCGCGGGGGCGTGCCCACGTGGGTGTGGCGGGCGTGGGCGCTCGGCAGGCAGCGGGGACCCCGCGCGGTGGCCGCGCCCCAGGCCGCCCCCGCCCCGGCTTCCTCCCCCTGGGGCGGCGGGAGCGCCCGAGCCCCGCGGAGTCCCCGGGCGGAGCCGCACGCCCCCCTCCTTCCGCGGGCGTCCGGGGGAGACGCCCCGCCGCTGGCCCCCGCCCGCCCCTCCTGCCCCCCTGCCCCCCCTGCCCCCGGCCGCGCGGCGTAGGAGCCCCGGGGAGGGGAGGCCTCCGTCCCGGTCTTTGTTTAGGCTCCCGACGGGAGCTCCCTCCGCGCTGCGGCTCGCGCCCCACCTGCCTGCCGCCCGGGAGCCCGGCGGGAAAAGCCCCAGGGCGGTCGGAACGATCCAGCAGCTCAGGGGCCCCGGAGCCTCGTCCAGTTTTCAGAGCCCCGGGGTTTCCTTGGAGGGACTCCTAGGGGCGGGGGAGGGAGTGATGGTTTCCAGGCAAAGATGTTCTGGGGCCCCAGGGTCCCGCTCGGTGCCTCAGGGCTCCTGCTCTCCTCAGTTGACCCTTCATTGTCTGAGCAGGAAGGGGGAGGGAGGACTGGCCTAGCCTTGTCTTCCTCGGGCTCACTCTGGTCTGGCCCAGTTGCTCTCGCCTGTCACCCCAAATGAGGCAGCGCTGAAGTCCCTAGATAGAGTCCTACTGTAGGGAGCAGGAAAATTTGATGACCTGGAAGAATTTACTTGGTCAAGACGCTCAAAAACAGTGCTTCTGGTTCAGGAGTTTGTGGAGGCCCACCTAGTGATCTCGGCCACCGATCGCCTCTCTCGGATTATACAGCCTATTCTGTGCAGAGTGAATGAGCTGGACCTGTCATCCGGAGGTCCAGGATGACATTGGGTGGGAGGTCAAGAAGATTTGCAGTACCTCCTCCCCTCTGTCCGGGCTGGCTTGTGTAAGGTCCTGGCTTTCCTTCAGCTCTGGGCTGTGGTGGAAGCTGCCATGACATTGAATTAACTGACTCATCTGTCTTGAAGAAGCTGTTAAGATTTGGTGGCCTGAGATGGGGTACGTGCTCCTGCTTGGAATACAGTATATTAACCACATAAAAGCCAGCAAGCTTGAGTTCTCCTTACAGCCCCCCAGGTCCCACCTTGGGGAAATCCCTGCCTCTCTACACCTTTGTAAGAGGGCTGTGGAAGGTCGGTGGTGACAAAGTAAACCTGTGTGTCCAAGACATCCAGGAGACTATGGTTCTATATATGCCAGTCCTTAAGAGCACAGGCAGGTTTTATAATTTCCTGGCTGTGTAATGTCCAACAAGTTACTTACCATCTCTGAGCCTTCATGCCATATTCTGAAATTGGAATGATGAACATTCAGAGGGTTCTTATAAGAATTAAATGAGAGGACATAAAGAAAATTTTAGTGTAGTGTTCGTTGTGTGGTTTAAGTGTTAACTGAATAGTTGCTGTTGTAATTGATTAAATTGTTATGACTGTATTAGAGATTCAGGCTTCCCTGAGTTATACCTTTTTCTTTCTTTTTTTTTTTTAAGATTTTATTTATTTATTCATGAGAGACACACAGAGGCAGAGACACAGGCAGAGGAAGAAGCAGGCTCCCTATGGGGAGCCCAATGCAGGACTCAATTCTAGGACCATGGGATCATAACCTGAGCTAAAGGCAGACACTCAACCACTCAGCTACCCAGGTGCCTGAGTTCCACCCTTTTCAATAAATTCAAACCTAGCCATCACAGAAAACTAATTGTTAATATTCTGGTAGCATAATTCATGAGGCCTAGGCTGTTCTGAATTCCTTGGGGGGAGGGGAATATAGGCCCCAGGAGGCTGTTAGGGCTGCCTAACAAAAGCTTTGACACTATGACATGTCTGTCTGTGCAGAATGGCGTCTATGAAGGCCTTGAAACAATGTGCACAATCCACAAGGCTCAGATAATTCACGAATCCCAAGCGAGCATTCAGGTGGGTCAGGTTGCAGATTTGAACACTTAAAAGCAGACAATATAGATGAAGAAATGTAAGAACCCTCACCCCCAACCCCTGGGGAGTGGGGCTGTTGCACCAAGCACAGGTGCTTAGAGAGGGGGTCCTGGCCCCTTCTGGAGGAGACAGGCCAGGAAAAGAGGAAGCCCTGCTGAGGCAGCAGAAGGGCCAGCTCTCAATCTCTTTTGCTCCCAGGCTCTCTTCCTCTTTAACACCTTGTGCAGGAGGCATGATGCTTGAGGACAGGCCAGATGGTGGGGCTTTGAACAGAGGAAAGCAGAGCAGGGTGGAGGGCCAAGCTGGTGGCTGGGACTGGGGACCTCTACAATGTGTCCCCTGGCCTCACTCCTAATTACCTGAAAAGTGCTGCGTAAGTCACTGCCTGTGCTGGACTTCCCCTTTGCCATCTGTAAAATGGGCAGGAGACCTGCCTGCACCTCTATTGGAGACAAGACACAGCATTTCTGAAGATCCCTTTGAGCCTTCATTTCCCCATCTGGAAATTCTGGATACATAACTGTCTGGGCAGTTGCAGGAAATAGAGCCTGATGCTGGCTAGTTGAAGCAGAAAAATGCTTTGTTAAAAGGAGGGCAGGCCGCTCTTGCAATCTCAGGATCCAGGCCCAACACTGCAGTGTTAGTCTGCTGTCAAAACCGCCACTGCCATCCCCAGGCACAGATGCTGTGGCCAGTGCCACCCGTGGGCAAGGACACTGGACACTGCCGTCCAGCGGGACCATGGCTGCGTCTGAAGCCTGAGGTGGTACTGCTGCTGCTGCTGCTGCTGCTGCGTCCTCACTAGGAGGGACTCGGTGTGGCCCTGGCTTCCTCATGCTACTCGTTTCTCAATCACTGTCAAGCCTGGGCGTGTCTGATCGGAGGCACCCAGAGCAGGTCATCTGCCAAAGCTGCAAAGGAGGCTGGGAAAAGATGCTCTCAGACCCTCTAGGACGAGGGGGATCTGCCCTACAGGAGGGACAACTCAGATGCCTGTGGCCAAAAATGTGACAGCACCTACTTCCAACGATGGTGGACTTGTGAAGCCACTGTGAGTTTGACAGATGGCACACACCACCTCTGGTCGCTGAGATTCATATCACACTGCGAATCTACAGTGTCAACTGGTGGTGCTCCTCCATGGTTGAGTCTGATTTTTCAGCAGGTGAAAGACAAAAGGACCTTGAAAACACTATGGCTTGCTGCCCTTCCAGATGCAGAGGCAGCTCTGGTCCTATTGCCAGGAGGACAGGTGACTGGGTTTTTCCATTGTGGTGATGATTTGGGCTGAGTCACCATTCCTCTCCAGTCCCCTTGTGACCATGACTGGAGCAAGTAAGAAGAGCTAGCAGGTGGGATCGGAGGTGCAGATGAGCCCAGGGCCACAGAGGCTTGTTCTCTTAGCAGGGGAGGGTGACGCAGGAACTGCCCCCCACTCCCCACTGATACTCCCCACTCACTGATCATGAGTCCAAGGGCCTCAGGAGGAGAAGAGTGGATCCCTTCTCTTTTATAGGATTGGTTGAGTGCCTCTTTGGTGCCAAGGCCTGTGCTGTGGGGTGCATTAGAGAACCAGAGCTGACCAGGACATTGACCTTGCTAAAGTCTATGCACCTGATGGAGTGCCATCTTAGCGTCCCATAACCAGGTTAGCGTCCCATAATTTAGGTATGAGGTCGACTCTGCTAAAATGCGTGATTGAGGTTACCATGCAGCATGGTGGGGTCCTGCAGGGCTCAGCAAGGGCTTCTTGGAGGAAGAGGCTTCAGAGACTGCAGAGATGGGGAAAGTGGGGATGGGGGAGATGCTATCCATCCACCACCCCTTGGGTCACCCAGGCCTTTTGCAAAGCTCGGGGAGGCTCAGAGCTAGACACAAGGCAGCCCTGCCCCTGCCAGGAGCTCCTGAATGGAGGTGCAGGATGCTGGATGTGCGAGAGCAGAAGGTAAAGAAACTGGAACAAAGAAGTGGGTGAGAACGAACATCTAGCCTCTGGAATTTCACCAGGCACCAGATTACCAGCTCCTGGGCCACCCTGGGCCACTCACTGGTGGAGGTGTTGTCTTCTTTCTCCCATGCATGCAAAGACCCTTCTCCTGCAGGTAGTCACCCTTGTGCTCCGGGTGACTCCAGACACCTTACCATCTTACCCCCACCACCCACCCCAGAGGGAACAGAACCCTTCCCCAGCCCCGGAAGTTTTAATAGACACATGAAGCCCCCCCAAGTTTGTGCTGAGTCAAGACAAGGGGTGGATCTGGCAATATTTTTAAAAATTCTAATAGTGACATATATTCAATGCAGAAAATTTATAAGATGGAGAGGGAATTCCATTGCCATGATTCCACTGTCTAATGATAACCAGTGTTAACATGTTAACATTTCGAGAGTTATATCCTTCAGCAGTTT